GCAAGTATGGAGGAGAGCTTATCCCATACTAGACGTAAGTCTCTGACCACGTCATTGTGGGTGAATTCATGAGATTAGAAGTGTGAGTCTCTAATATTTCTCTAAAGTAATAATAATTAAAATAAATTATATAATTAATAATAAAAAATTGTTATATTTGGAAAAAAATTACTAATTAATGTATTATGTAATAATAAATGTAAAACAAAACTCACTTAACGCTGTGATATGTGACGTATCACGACAATAAGAAAAAAGGCAAATAACAATTATGAATTTGAAAAAAAAAAAAAATTAAATCAGTGGTAAAATTTATGAACTTTAATAATTAAAGTGTCAAATATTTTCATGAATTTATATTCATTTTTGAAACGTGCCAGGTGTAATTTTTCGTAAGAAAAATTTATAAGATTTTGGGAAGAAGTTGGTTGGGCTTTTTTGGCTATTTTAGCCACAAAAAATAAAATAGGCTATTTTAGCCATAACAAACAAAACATCACATCCAACTCATAATCATTACACTCTTCTCTCACAAAAAAAGTCAAAAAAGCTAAAAAGTCAAAAAGTCCTTCCCAAACTAAGCTTTTTAGTCCAGGCTAAAATAGCCAAAAAAATTAAAAAGTCAAAAAGTCAACCCCATTCCCAAACGGAGGGTTAGTATTACTTATATCTCCAATTCGTGTGGACTAAAACAAAAACAAATAGTCAAAGCTCCCAATTTGTGTCGGTTCGAAACTTCTTGTAAATCAAACACTTCAAAAATTTTGAAAACGAAAGATTTAAATTCCACCTATTAATCAAGTAGATATTGTCCTAATTTGCTGTCACTTATAAATTAGTTTTTATAATTATAAATTTTTAGATTATTAACTTCAAATTTTTTTGATGCAACTTTTAATAATGTGTAAAAATAAATAAATTTGTTTAGTGAAATAAGTTATTACATAACTTTTTAGTTATGCATATATTCAAAACAATCTAGCTTGTTTCCAGTTAGAGATTAAGACTGAATCATCCAGTTCGGCTTATGGATTCATTTTGGGCCTTATTTTGATAATCTGAACCGTTCAATGTGTAAAACTCGTCAAGTATTATATCTGTGTAAAAACTCACATTGATCGGATATCGATAGCTATTTAATCAGCTCAATTTTGTATTAAAACAAATGAACGATAAAAAAATAAACAGTTGACAGAAATTTGATCCGATCAGATAACTATTGATTTCCGATTAATGTAATTTTTTACAGGAATATAACACCCGACGAATTCTACATATTGAATGATTCGAATTATCAAAATGAAACTCAAAAATAGGCCCACAGGCCGGACTAGACGATTCAATCTTGATCTCCAACTGAAGACAAACTAGACCCTATTCAAAATGCCCTTAAAAATTATAATTAAAATAAAAGAGATGAGTTTTTTTTCTTCATACGTATTTAAGGTTTCAAATAAACTACATAAAAAAACAAAAAATTATAACTTAAAAAGCTCACTTTTTTTTTTTTTATAAACTAAATAAGCTACAAAAATTCGAATAATTTATAATTTATAATTGGTACCACACACCATTGATTAACTGTTTTTTGAACAAATAAACTAAATAAACTGACTTATAAATGTTATTAAATAGAACTATTGAATCTCTTTTTGGTTTGTTTTTTCACTTAAATCTAATATGAAATTTATAAAGGGGTAATTATGCTCCACTGAAAGTAAGAAAAACAAATATGTATACATATTTATGAAAAAATTTATAATTTTAATTATTAATATTTATAAAAAAAATTATTGATTTATAATTATTTTTTTAAAACTCCACTTATATTTTCCCATTTATCAATGAGCAGAAAAAAATTGAATCATTAAAATTTAAAATGTATATATATGTCGACATGACAAGCATTCTTTTATTAAGATTGAACATCCACATTGGATATCCAATTGGGAACTAGGAGACAAATTATGTTCCCACTTTTTAGGCCAATGAATTTCACATTATTTTTTGACCAATTATGTCCCCACTTTTTAGGCCAATGAATTTCACATTATTTTTTGACCAATTATGTCCCCTCTTTTTAGGCCAATGAATTTCAAGATCCATTGGCATTTGTATGATTCTCTCTTGTTTCTCAATTATGAGGTTAAATTTTACAAGTACAGAATAAGTTAAAAAGTTAAAAAATTATTCAAAAAGTTAAAAAATTAATACTATTCACCAAAAGTCAACAATTACGGCTGCATAACTCTCAATTCTAATTTTCTCTTACAAACTAATTTTTACAATTTTTTATTACACATTTTTCCATAAAAAGTCAAAAAATTAACCCAAACATCTATATTTTCTTCCTCAATTTTTTAGTTCAAAAAGACAAAAAATACACTTATTTAGAACATCCCAAATAACCCCTTAGTCTCCTTGGTACCGACCCACTTTCTCACTTATGTGGTACATGATTGATTGGTTTTTCCCCAACCACTTTGGCTCATCGAATGGATTAAAAATGAATCGAGTCGAACAGAATAATAAATCAACCACTTTGCTCATTCCAAGTCTTTCATTTGGTAAATTGGACACATTCAAAATAGAAATGTGATTCCTAATTCGATATTTGAGGCAAAATGAGATTAGCACCCTATTTCCAAAATTGAAGAATATGTTTAGATCATGAATTTTAATAGAGATTTGAAAAGAGAAAGAGAATGTGTATAAAATGTAGATGATATAATCAAAACACTACACAAGGAAATCTCCTATTCCTGAAAAACAAAAAACAAAAAAATGTGGCTCATTTAAAAATTCAAACAAGTAAATGGACCCATAAATTTTATATTTATATCATATTCCTAGCCAAATCAAACACTTGAATTACATTAATACATAAATATTATTACCAGTAATGAAAAGTAAGATTCCCATACATACTCTTTAATTCCTGTCATCCAAACACTACTCAACTCAAAAATGTGATCCCTACTTGAATAAGTAATCATAAATCACATGCATATTTCAATTCATTCCAAATATTAGAATCATAAAGACTCATATCACATTTCCATTTTCCTCCAAGATTCCTATCATCCAAACTAAGCAAAGCACTATACATGATCCATGGTTGGGATGACAACACTGAGAATTAGAAAGACAGATGGGGGATGAGTCCTTCAGCTGTGGGGGATAAACTCTTTGTTGGAGAAGGCAATTGCTAACATTCAAACAAAGAGGAACATCTAAACAATAACAAAAATTGTGTCGTTTGTGTGGAAGAACTCACTCAAAAGTGGTTTTAATCGAAGAGAATACGAGCCCATGTAGTGCTAGCATTGCTAAAACTAGAGAATGGTGGCAACCAACACATGTCTCCATAGCTGAACCATCAACAAGATCACTATGTGAACCTTCTTTTTCCCGTATATCACTTAAATGACACACTGGAGAGTTAGAAATTGATAGTTAAACGATCTAAGGCTGAGTTTAGTTTAAAAATTTGGAGAGAAATTTGAAAAGGGAAAAGAAAAAGATACGTAAAACTAAGTAAAATGTAGACATATTTTGTTTACACTTCACCGTCATTTTCACTTTCTATTTCCTAATCTCTCTCCAAATCTTTGAACCAAACACAACCTAAAGTCATTCTCAAATAGAGATTTGACAGGCAGGTATTATGAAAACTAGCTATGGCCAACAAACAAGTGGATAACTACTTTCAAGACCAAAAATTGGCCTATACTAGTGGATGGTAATGCCGTTGTCCAGAGCCTCCTGGGAAGGCAAATAAATCAAGTATTGAAACCTTTCATGAGAAAAGCTATAGTTAGTGACATGCTAATCTACACCAGACTGTATTAAAGGCATGCCAATATTTATCCGAAGTGAAAATGAGCACAACGCAAACTTGAGAGTACTAACAGCCTATGAAGTTAATAAACTAATCAATTGGGCATTATTGTAGGACTATGAGAGGGGTTTTGACCACAAAAAATGAAAATGACTAAGAGAAGGTTCAAGTTGCTCACTGATGGCAAATGCTGAAGACTATCGACGACTTTCAAAGTTTCTACCTTCTATAGACATTTCCATAAGACGAGTACAAGATCAGGCCCCTTCTTGATTGATTGTTGCAATCTATACTGCATTGCTGGTTGCTGAGAAAGATCCCTCGTCTGGATCTTGAACCAGATTTCAAGCCCAAAGCTGATAGCTTCAAGAAGACCTTGTTCCCTTACCACAGCCCAAACTTGCAGAGAGTCTCACTAAAGTAATTCTCATACTTTCAGTTCATGACATACAATCTCGGACAGCCCATTTGGATTGGGTGATTTGGGAAGAAATGAAGAGGGACTCATTTCTCTTATAATCTTAATTTTGAATCTCTACAAAAGTAGAAAGATTAGAAGAGAAGAAACTGACAAATTACTATTTTTTTATAATACCAAAACTGCCCCTTTAGATACTGAAGAAAAAAAAAGACTGACACAAATAAAAGGTTTATTTTGGTAATATAACATGAAATAATTTCTTTTCTTTCTTTTATACAATTTTACCAAGCAAGATATGAGAGAGAGAAATCATTCTCTTTTCTCTTAATTATCCAAGCAAAAAGGGAAGGAAAAAAATTTTAAAAAAAAACACTATTTTCTCTCGTCACTTGTGTAATCATTTCTTTTCTTTTATTTGTCCTCCTTTTTCTCTCCTAGGTTCCCAAACTGAGTGTAAGTTCAAGCGCCATTATTTGGGGATTTCTTCCAATTTGGAAAGGAAGTAACTAATGAAAAATCATGGAAAAATGAACTTGATGCATGCTAACCAAGCTTCAAGCACACATCGCTCTAATCCATTTTCTAAAACAAAGACTCATATACAAAATGTTGGAGGAAAAACTTACCAGAATTGCGATCAGTTATCCTCAATGAGTTGCCCTTGCAGTTGTAGCCAACCTGTCTACACCAAAGAATAAAGAGACAAAAATAATGACTGAAACCATTAAACAGATCAGGTGAAAAATGCCCTCAATCTAGCAATGGAACAGGACATATTGAATTGTGCTGCTGAAAAGGTTGATAAATGCCGCTGCAAACTAGAGTCAAAACTCACAAGAGGGTATATATGTTCGGGCAAACAAAAAACAGTGCCCATTTCAAAATAAATTCCTTGTTCGCAGACTGTAGCTACAAGATAAAACATCTCTTCAACTTTTTACCAAAAGGAGAAAAATGTCTACCTTGTAAACACTAAGGAGATGAATGTACACAGAAATCTACATGGACAATTTACAGAAATGCCCAAAAAAAATTAAACAGCAGGGAAAAGAGGGGGGAACCAAAGGACCCAATTGGAACCAGTCAGAGCAATACCACACAGTTGTCTTAAGATTGGTTTTTCACAATCTTAACACTACTGTAAAAGCGCTTAAGGTCCTTTATGGCCCTTTCCTCGATCTGAATTGAACGGATCGATGAGGGTGTGTCAACCTCCGGTTTGAACCAGCGGTTCAAACCAGCAGAATCTGAAGGTGAGCCCTGACCAGTAGCGATAGCAAATCCAGTTGTTCTTGCCTTTGGACTGTGGGAAAGACTTGGGTGATGTTTTCCCTGCTTTGGGACAACCAGACAAAAAACATGAAAGAAAATGAGATCTAGTAGATGAATGAAAATTGAAAAAATAAATGCATGAAATTGATTTAAGTTGATCGCAGAACACTCCAATTCCAGTAGTAAACAAAACCTTTATTATCAGACATAAAGCATAAGTTGGATATGGTAATTTCAGGAGACCAAAAAATGAACATCTAGATTGAAAATTTCTAATAAATGGAAGATGTTTCTAAAATTGCTGGACATAACAGCTTAATTTGCAAAAACAGGTTAAACCCATCTTGTAAAGCACATAATGAACAAAAGTAGAGTAATGGATTGAAGATAAAATCAATGGACACAAAATAGGTGCTGTTGCGAATGTATTTAGTATTGGAGCAATCGTTGTCGCCTTCCATTACAGGCCAAGCAAACTACCTATGACACTCTCATCTTTCAAAGGTAGCCCTTATTCAAATTTTGTTTTCCCCTTTCTTTTATTTCCCCCAGCAACAAAAGGTGGCAGCCCATTCTCTTTTAAATAGACCGTAGCTTTAATTTTGTGCTAAAAGCTGCTTGTACTGTACCATTGTGCTTCTCAAAAAAGATAAAAATATGTTATGCATTATACAACATCCTATAGGGCCGTTCCTGTACCTGTTGCATTTGGATGTCCCTGAGAGATGGCCGAGAATGAACAGGTGGAGTCCCAGAAGCAATCCAAGGAGGGGTGCTTCTTTCTCCATCGGACACCTGTGACGTCTGAGCCGAGATGACTGGTATTGGATTGGAAAGCAAAAATGAACTCATATGAATTTTCCCACCACTCTTACTATCAGAAGCATCTTCCACCTGGTCTTTGCTTTTAGTGGGCTGAATCTCCTTGGTTTTGCTCTGCTCATCTTGGATCTCACGGAGAGAGGAGGATCCTTTTGCAATTTTAGCACCACCCCAAGCAGGGCCCTCACTTTTAGGCATTGGTGGCGGCGGTGGTGCAGAATCTTTTTTGGGCTTGTCATCAAGAGCACCACTCAAAAACATAGAAAGCCCACCTTTCTTTTTCTTCTTCTTAGATGCTGTTGGTAATGAACCCTTATTCTTCAGAGTGTCTTCAATGCCTTTTTTAATGCAACCGGGAGACTCTTCAGAGGCTTGGCTGGCAGCCATTCCTTCAACCTCTGCCTCCTCATCCTATCAAATAAAACAAACAAAATATACAAATGATTGGAATTCATACATTAAACACAAGCAAAATGCTTCACTTTTAATAAACAGGAACTCAAAACAAAAATACTATCGGACGGTGTTCCCAAACCACCTATTCAACAGTCGCATGCCTTGGTGTACAATACAAACAAGAAAATTATCATGTATAATAATGCGTTAAGAATTCCACACCTCTAGAAAAGCCACATCCATGACCAACTGGTTCATGCATGGAACTACCTTTTAAAGGTAGGCACTGTGGATGCCATCTGGCACTCTTTTAGTTGGAGTGATTTTTCAATTAATTCAGTGCATATGCTTTGCAAGCCATGTAGTGAGTGACATGTGTCCATAATCCAAACAGTTCTTGAAGTGATTGGAAAAATTGCAACCCAATTCCTGCCCTGGCCCATTTCTAGCAACATGTAGTTTCACCTTGTCATCTCAGGTTCACGACCAGTTAAGGGATATTGTGTTCATCTATGAAGCATGGATACTTCTAAAAAGGAAAGCGCATCCATAGCGGATTCCAATACTCCTCGGACACTTGCAGATGTGTACAAATACTTCCTAAACGTATCCAATACTTGATAGTAATTTTGAGAAGTATCGGATACTTTTTGGACACTCTTTAAGTCATGTATCCAAACTATTATGGAATTGAGATTGCAAAATTTTTTGCACAGTATTAAAGTATCATTGTTAGAATTAATACAAGAATAGTTTTTCAATATTTTTTTTATTTCTTATTGAAGAAGAAAATAGTGAAGATCAGTACCCTACTTTTTCAGATCTTATCACACTAACGTTATGTTATGTTATCCACTGAAAATAAAGTAAACTGACTATTGGCTCTTTAACTAATATTTAATTCCTAAAATTGGTTTCTCACTATTCTTTGAGCTCATACATAAAATATAATACTAAAAATTATTAAAAATAAAATATATATAAATTCAATGTATCCCGCCTATACTCATATCCTATTTTTTAGATTTTTCCGTATCACATCTCCGTATTATATCCTATCTATATCCCGTATCCATGCTTCATAGGAGTTGATTCTCAGGTTGGAATTGAGAAAGTGCTCCCCCATTCCAAACCTGTCCCATTGCCACCAAGGAATATAGTACAAAATACAGATTAACAACACTGGATTTCTTCAAAGGTTAGGAACAATAATCATTATTTAAAAATCAAAAACAAAAAAGAAACTTCAAGAAGACTTGAACTTTAGGAATCTAACCTTATGCTTGACTTGAGAGATCTGAACATCCAGGAAATCCTTAATGGGATATGGTTCTAGACCCATGCCAGAATCAGTAGACTCTACTACAACCTGTCCTTTTTGTTTGCTCTTTCTCCTCTGTTTTTTCAATACCTCTCCCTTTTTACTCCCTTTTCCATCCAACAATACAGAAGATACTTTTGCCTGCATTGTCTCAATCGGAACACCAAGCTCAGCAAGAGAATTCTCCAAAGCTGACCTAGTATGGAGCTTTGCAATCTGCTGGTCATCAAGAGCATGCCCCTTGGACCGCTTCTCTTCAAGCATCTCAATCTGCTGCAACTTTTTCCTCAAAGCACGGACTTGTTTGCAAATGAATTCATCTGCATCATTGTTGGGTTGTAGAAAGCAATCTAACCTATGGTCTCTCTCTTTCTTTGAAATTGTCTTTTTTCTATGGTTGTCACGAGTCTGAAGTTGTTCACTTTCACTATCCTCTTCCTCACTATTGATTATGGCAGGAAAAGTAGCTGTTGGAGTTGGGAGCCGACGGTAACTCCAGGGTTCGGATGATCTCACATCCAACGATTTCTCAAGATTAGCTAAAATATCTAGTGAAGCAGTGGCAATAGCGTGAGCCGAGACTGTGAGAATATAATCAAGATTGCGAATAGCAATATCCTGCATCAATTTTTTTAAGACGTGTTATATAAATAAGATACAATCATGAGCTTCAAAAATTAATGTTACAATCCGAAATAAACATAAAATGGATCGATTACAGTGCAATGCAGATGATGAGGCAATCTCTTGCATGATGGTCAAAATCAAAATTGACCTAACCACCAGAATCGTTAGCTGTTCATTTCATGGTATGTACCTGGAAAATACTTCCCAACAAATAAAGATGGTGTGGGACAGAAAATACTACAAATTCAGATCTTAATGTCAAGATCATACCTATTTGTTGTGAAGGCACATTCCAGGTATTATTGCACAAGCACAACATTCTTGACATTTTTCATGTTCCTAACTTCAAACCAAAATCTCATGAAATTTGATGCAGTGTTTCTGTGTGCTTTGGACACATGTCCATCCCTTATAACACACATTACAAGTTTGAAGAAAATAACTTGGGATCCAAGAATAAAAGAAAAAAAACGTAGATTATGGCCTATTAGTCTTATGTTCAATTTTTTAATTATCTTTCAAATAAAATATTCATATATATGGCATATAATAAATATATATATATAAACATATTTTACGTGAAGCACAAGAGTATGATATCTAAAGTACAATTAACTGAGGAAACTGAAAAATTGATGCCCAACATCCAATGGAAATCATAATATTCTTCTGCAATGTAGTGTCAAAGCTTCATTTGGCCTTGAAACATTAACAATTTAAAAGTATTAAAACAAATGCTTGGCATAGAAGTATACAATAAATATAACTGAGCTTCCATTTTCCTAGATGAAGAGAAAAGTGCATCGACTACAAGTCAAAAATTTTAACACCCAAGTATTGCAAACATTTTAGGCAAAATTCAAATGTGAATATTTATTTTCCTTCTGTTTATAGTTTATATTCCCTTTTGGCATCGTTTGACAGCTGTCCATACATGTAAGAGTGCCATTACTTGCCCAAAAAAATAAGTGCCATTAGAGAGACTCAAACATAGGGTACATCACTTAAAGTCATAGAATCAAACCAGCCAAGCAAGTAGTAGTTGATCAACATGTATATTTACTAACAAAATCACAAAACGCAGAGGTCTACGAGATAAAGCAAAGCAAAAATTAGAATGCAAAAGGTCCATGACCAAGGATATCTTTAACGCTGTGTTTAGATCTTAGATTTGGAAGGTATTTGTAGAGAGAGAGAGAGAGAGAGAGAGAGAGCAGGGAAAAGTGAATGAAATAGAAGCTAAATATTTTTCACAAATCCCTTCCCTGCCCTCTTCCCACAAACCTCTTCACAAATCCAAGATCCTATCACAGAATAAAAGTTTTCGCAGGAGTCATCTAATGAGCAATGTTTGGACAGGCCCGACAGGAAATATTAAATAATGGCATGATGTTTTGAAACTTTCTTTTTTCGAACGATAAGTATAATGTTCTGAAACTTAAAAAATTATATAAATATATTTGACATTTTTGGAGAAAATAGCATAGATCATCTGGGAAAATACCTCACAGTGCTTCCTCAAATCCTCTGCCCCCAGCGAATCTGCAATTTCAAGAAGCTGTACAGCATTTCGGGGCTCCACCAAATGTTCTGCTGCTACTTTCTCACAGAGGCTTTTTAAGGTTGGTATGGGCCTGCTGTTCCCAACATCATCCTTTTGTGAGGTGGATGAGACTTTATCAGACTCTATATCATTAAACATAAAATCTTCATCTAACTCATCTAAGTCACTCAAAACATTTGGCTTGAGCTTCTGGGGTTTATTTACAATACTAGGAGGATAAACAGGATGATAGAGAGAACCAATCATCAATAGATGTGTTTCTCCAACTGAAACTGAAGTTGCTCTCTTTACACCATGTAACCGAGTCGCAATTGGTGGCTCATCCTTTCCTTTCTTTCCATCCCACATATATACATCACCAGCAGCTGTAACTGCAGCGGTCCAGTACTTCCCAGTGGAAACACTCACTATTCCTCTGCCACAAAGTGAATATAACTACACAAAAGCAAACAACAGAGATGATATATAATATGTTATTAAGTGGATTTGCATGATTGATGACATCGAAAAACACACCAAGTTCAGTAAAATTAAAACCTGTTGACATCGAAGATCGGGATCAGATGACACCCAATAAAACAATGCACCATCATCAGTGAGAGCCAAGCTATGTACCATCCCTGCAGCTATAGAATTCACATGAAGCCGTTCCTTACGATGAAACTTCAACAGAGTGCTACCACTTTTTTTAATATTTCTAGCAATGACTACACGTCTAGGGGTAACAAGTCGGTGACCCCAAGTAAATACCTGCCATTCATTGTCAATTGGTATCACCTACTTAATAGCAGTATCAAAAAAATTTACTAGTAGTAGTGACAGCGATAGCGTAATTCTGAAATCATGTACCTCTCCATCAGCTCCTAAAACAATTGTGTGATATTTTGCCGCCTCAACTCCAACAAAAACCTTGCCTTTCAGGTATTCAACCACCCTTGGAGTGTAATTTGAAGCAGAGTTAGAGGTGCCATAACCAAGTTGACCCTCTTTATTAAATCCCCATGTGAAAACCTCACCCGATTCAGACACTACAGCAGTATGTTTGTTTGCTGCAGCAACAGCAACTATTTTTGACCTCAGCGAACTCACTCTCCGAGGTGTGGGTTGGGTATCCACAGAAGTGTATCCTAGCTGACCCTCTGTACAATATCAATAGAACAAGTCAATATTTCCACTTTTATTTTTTCTCTCCCTATGATCACAATAACAAGTCAATACTTCAAAAGTCATAATTCTGGAAAAATAACAACCATTAAAGAAAATGTTGTCATTCTTTTCTTCATTTTCAAAGTAAACCAGAATGCAACAAAACCAACTTTCTGTTTTTTTCTTTCCAATCAAGAAGATACAAGTGATTTTAGAGTTCTGTGGTTATGCAGACTGATTGACTATAACACAATCAATGAAATTTGATTGAGGAATTCAACATTCACAAATGCTGAAATACTTATACCTCTATTGGAACCCCAAGTGAACACTTCCCCACCCTCTGTTGCAACAACAGTGTGATGTTTAGCCGCTGCAATTGTCTTAACCCGGCGAGCCCCTAAACCAGAACTCACCAGTCGGGGAGTGATAACTGCAGCTTGACCGCTGCAAGAAAATGAAATGAAGAGCATTTGATTTATGATCTGCAAGTTCTCCCTGACTACAGTTTATGCCAAAAAAATTAAAAAAACTTCTTACATTTTGAAAAGAAAATGAAATGCTGATTTAGAATTATTATTAGAACCATAAGGTATTAAGAAAACTCTTTACCTGTGAATATCGAAGTCAGGGTGACCAAGGCGGCCACCTCTCCCAAATCCCCAAGTGTAGACTTCTCCATGAGCAGTGACAGCTACACTATGGAACTTTGCAGCAGAAATCAATTTGATAAATGAACCGTGAAGTGAATCAACTTTGCATGGTAACTTCTGAATGTGTGCGTTCCCAGTTCCAAGTTGATAGTTTACACCACTACCCCAACTAAACACCTCTGTAGCTACTACACAAACAACCAAAAAAAGCCACTTAGGTTATCCTTTGGTTGGTTTGGCACTGACTTTTTTAGTGGCCTTCTGGCTTTTTGGCCTTTTTAGAATCTAAAAAAAAACTGATGTGTTTGGAAATTGCTAAAAAAAAATTTTTTTTTTTTTTGGTTGGTGGCAAAGTTTACCTTTTTGGATTTTTTTTAATACTTTTTTTAGCTCTTCCCAAGCATGCTTTTGCTTTTTGGCTTATTAAGCCAAAAGGCTGCTTTTTGGCATTTTTTGGTTAAACAAGCTAAAAAGCCACTTAACTTTTCCATTCACAAAAAAACAACCTACTAGCAACTTTCCAAACGAATCAGTTTTTTGCGATTCTAAGGCCTCGTTTGGGAACAGGCTAATTTAATAACTTTTTGGCTATTTGGCTAAAAAGGTAGGTAAAAAAAAACTTGCATGTTTGGGATGACTTTTTGGCTAATTACGAAAAGATGTGCAAAAAGTAGAGAGAAAAGAGAATCTTTGATTTTCTGGTATGAGTTGTTGGCTTTTTGGCTAATTTAGTAACTTTTTGGCTAATTGGCTAAAAAGGTAAGTCCCTAAACGGGGCCTAAAAAAGCCAATGCCCAATGCTTACACTCAGTGTCTAATAGCCAAGATTGTTAAGAAGTAAATAAGTGAAAATACCGCTGTGTACCTGAATTATCTGCATTCCCCACAGCCTGTGAGACAGGCCCAGAGAGGAGATCAACAGGTATTCGGGATTTAGAGTCCTCCAATGTGGTAGAAGCACCTGATTGAATAAGTACACTTGCCACTGCGAGATGACCAAAATGCAGAGCTCTGTGAAGGCTACTCCATCCAGTTTCTCCATCCTGAGATACAAATTCAATGGTCATAAAGTAGAACAACTGAACCCAGTTTCAACAAAAAAAAAAAAAAGCCTGAATTTCTCAGTAATCATCCCAATAAATCAAGTAGAAATATAATCTTTCAAGTTCTCAACTAAGCTAGAACTAAAAAATACAACTTTTTAATGGTTAACTGCATTGAAAGAAGGCAGTCCAGAATGCCAACAGTGATCTCGTTTGTTAATAATGGCACAGCAATAATTTATGTCCCTAATTCATTTTCATCCACATTAAAATTTGGTCTAATAATGGCACAGCAATAATTTATGTCCCTAATTCATTTTCATCCACATTAAAATTTGGTCTACCCATGACAACCCAGTAACCAATAATTTCCTTACATTGGTTTCAGTTTTTCAACATGATCCCAGATAAGACATTTTCTAACTCTCTTTCAAAAAAAAAAAAAAATTTGCTTAACATGTATCCATATTTTAGGTGATATGGTTACAGAAATAGGAGTCATGACACTCTTCATGTTATCAAATTCACTGCAGAATCAATAATTTATCTATCTTTATTACAAACAATGGATGACACACTTCAAAAAAAAATGTACGAGGGAGTGAAGAAAAACTGATATGTAGCATAACAAACCAACCTAAATTTTAATAGAAAAACAAAATTATACTTCTCATCAACGGTTTAGCCAAATGAGGCAAGGGAAATTAAACTGATATATACCATTAGCTTACCCATAATAACATGACCAAAGATAATGCCAATTGATTAAAAACAACTAAGACGGCATGCATATATGAAACAAAAATATTCAGAGGATCTGAATAATCAGAAGACTAACACACCCTAGCATTAGGATCTGCACCAGCTGCAAGTAGCCTCTTAACAATAGGTATATGATTTCTCCATGTTGCAATATGAAGAGGAGTGAGACCAAAAATGTTCCTGGAATTGATATTTCTCCCATTCTTCTTCAGCAATGCCAAAGCCATCTCTACATCGTTCACAGATCCCTCTCGCACTACAAGCCACAGATCATTCTGAGACACACTTGATGAAAATCTGCGAGCAGCTGTATGCAAATTCTGCTTTTGGCCTTGAGGAAAAACTACTTCCTCCATTGTCAACTATAAATATGCACTTGAGATTTTGAATAACCTAAGACGATACCACCAATAACTTCAACACTTCAGTTAACCACTGATTTGGTCTCAGCAGATAGCTCAAGAGCCAGATTCGTTAAAATCCTGTTGAGAAGTCAATGTCAAGTCAAAATGCAACTAGTCTGGCCCTTGAAAAGTTTTATTTGGTCTATTCCACGTTAGTAGGCCTTCCAATTCAGGCATCATTCAAAACTTTAAGAGAGCCATTTGAAAGCAGATTATTAAACTTCCAACTACTATGCCACTGTCATCATCACCACTTTTATCATGAACACAAACCAGTTGAAGTAGCCATTCACAAACCCCCATCACAGATCATGAGCTATGGAGTGATCTCTGATTATCACAGGACCAGCACACTGCATTTGCAAGCCTTCCATCAGTAATTATATTCATTGAACTAAAACTTGTGAAATGAAACAACAAAAGAACATTAATGTGTCAGCACAATTACGATCAAAACAGTGACATAGAGTTTGGAACTTCAACCTATCATCCAGCTCGTCTCCCATACAAAATTTCTGCTTTTTTGTTTCTGGAAAACTGGAAACATATTTTCTTTTTCCCAAGGGAGTTTGAAGTGAGAATGGACTTCAATATAAAGTTCATCCGGGTGTTTCCACATTGGAGTTTTATTTTGAAAACAGTTTTCAAAAAACATAAGAACAGAAACATACTCCAAATATGTTTTTGTTTGAACCCATTACCCCTAGATCACAATGTAGCAACCTTACCAACGCGCCAAGGCAGCTACTCAAACAAAATTACAGTGATGTAAATACAATACAACTCTTTTATCTTACAGAAATGAGTAAATTCTACATCTTGAACAATAAATATGTGAATGAAACATGTCTTAGAAAAACAACAAATTGGTGACTGTCCGGAGCAGTATCCCACGAGTAACATTTTAGATTTACCATATCCTGTCATATTAAGGTCTTACGAATTATGATCTCTTAATTCTTGTCCGAACATTCATACATTCTAGCTCTAGTCTCGTATGAGCTTCTCCCAATTACATCTGGTCATAGAATAGGGCAGCTTTGGTTTGACTAAGGCTCCACTTTTTGCTTCGTCCAAGGAGCGTATGAATTTCTCGGAATTTATATAGACAAAAAGCAAGAATGAAGGGATAGGAATAGAATTATAATAGCATTTGCAGAAGGGCCACTTGTGAGAACATCTCTACTAGTGAACCATTTCAATAGTATGGGTGTTGCCATGCCATGAGGCATGGCCATGGAAGCAATAAAAAAGAATATTTTACATAGTTGGGCTATCTACTCTATCCGTTCAAGGGTCACTTCTGTATAGAAGCTAAGACACTATAAATGTTAGTGTTCGCAACACATACCAAAAAGATAATAATTAAGCCAACCATTTATCCCATTTTAAGTGAGGTGTACAATTGACATTCTTGCCAATGTAGATTGGGTAGTGGTGTTCTATATCTCATAGTGTTATGCAAAATATAAGACAACGTAATCCATTGCCCACAGTTTATGAATGCTATGATTTATTATATCAACAAACAATGTCATTCTCAAGGTTTTAAAAAGCGGCCGCAACTGTTACGTAACGTCGTTACGTAACGGTTTTGGTGGTTACCGCCACCCGTTACGACCGCTTTTGCAGTGCGATTGAAATTCACAGATGTGTCGGCCGTAGCGGTCGTAAAGGTGCCGTAACAGCCGTAACGGCCTGTTACACACCATTACGTAACGGTTCCGAACTGTTTCTTTCAAAAAAACACACAAAAAAAACTGAAAATGGGGGAAGAGGGGTAGAGAGAAGAGGGAAAATAGAGAGAGAAAATGGAGGAGCAAGAGCTAGAGAGAGAGAAAAGGGAAGATGAAGAACATGTTATTGATTTGTTGAAGCTGTAAGACCTATGCTATTCTATTCAGTTGCTATCATTCAACCATTTTGTTTGTGTGTGTCTATCTATATATTGTTTGATAATAATAATAATAATAATAATAATAATAAGTGTGGTCATTATCTATTTGGCTTGGTTAAAATATGTATATATATATATATATATATATATATTTAGGCTCTTATTTATTCTCTTACTTTTGTCATTATTTATCTTATATATAATAGTTAGTAATTGATTTTTTGTATAATATAAAATCATTAATTATTAAAATAAAATGTAAAAAACCTCAGTTTATAATGACTTAAAAATATGAAATATATTGGATCATACTTAAAAATTTATAAAAATTGATCAATATTTATTTTAAACCCAATAAATATGATTATGGAAAAAAAATATGCGTATCGGTAAGTTTTTTTCAAATTATGTGAAAAATAAAAAATTCACGGTTTCGGTTACCGCAACCGTTACGCTACGGCCTTTACACCCCGCAACCGCAACCATGTCACCGCCACCATTACGGCGACCGCAACCGCTTTTCAAAAACTTTACAAGAATGACTCATTCTTGTAAAGTTTCTAAAATTGAAATATCAGATACTTGTATATAAATTCCAATAAACATGCATGGAAGGTCAAGTCATAAAATACAAAAAATATAGGAGAAATTGAAAAGAAAACTGCAATGGACTATAGTTCACAACATAATGTGTGTGCGCGCACTTGCGTGTACAGAGATGGAAGAATGCGATTTTGGGCAGTATAACAACAGATGTGCAACATTGTGATATAACTAGATCTGAAAGGATGTGCAACAGATGCAGATGTATCATAAGCAAATATTTTGCACCTCTAAAAGGACGAACTGTAAAATATATCTCAAAAAAAATTAGGACCTTTACTTAATTGAACTGAAATGCTATCATAAGCTATTGCTTTCCTTTTATCAAAAAACAAAATAAAAACAGAATATTTATCACAAAAACATTTTCTATGTTGAATTGAAATGCAATCATTGTACAACAACAGAAATCACAGCAGCAACTAAACTGGACAAGAAGAAGAAGAAGCAGCAGCAGCAGCAACGGCTGACTACTTTTCAATAGACACCCAACACTAAAAGAGGAACTAAAATCAATCCTGAATTGAGTCTAGTCATTGATAACAAAAAGTAAAAAATAGCTAAAAACTAATGTGTTTCACTCCACATTAAAGACAATGAAAGGGTTAAATGGCCATTGGAAACAAACCATTTCCCCCAATTCCACCCAACTGCAAGACAAAATTTTTAAGAACAATTGAGGATTATCAGCATCCAAAATGTTAATTCAACCATTGAATCTCAAAACCCAGATCAAAATCTTCAAGAATTGTCAGAACACATCAAAATGAATCACACCCACCATATAAAAAACACAAATTTCAACAAATCACACACTATTCAATTGACATAAATATATAAATTTATATACATGAGCGTTACACCACACCTAAACCACCTACCAGTGATAGCAAACAAACAAACACCCACAAATTGAAAATCAATTCAAAACAGATAAATTAGGAACAGGAAGGGAAAGAAAAAAAAACACCCATAAACTCGATTAGTCATTAACAAAGATCAAAAAGAGAAAAATAAAGAAAACCCAAGAAAGAATGTGAGGGAAAATAGAAAAAATCACCTGGGATTTGGATTGGAGAGACAAGTCAGGGAATCCAAAGAACAACTAGAACTAGAAGAAGAAGAGAATAAAATAGAGAACTGTTATGTTTGTGTTTTGTGTGTATCTATCTGTGTGGCTCTTCTATGTATGTATGTGTGAAATGTTGCGTGGTGGTGATGGCCAATGGCCATGTGTTTGAGAAAGAATCGAGCCGAAGAATATACCACAACAACACCACCTCTCCACAAAAGGCATAACGCACAGAGAGAGAAAGAGAGAGAGAGCGAAGACTAGAAGGGTAGTATGGGAATTGGAAAAGTGAAATGACGAAAATGGACTTGGACTCTGTGCGAAGTGTCTGAAGGTCAAGTTGTCATCGGACCGGTGTTTGGTTTGGTGTCCATTGCCATGTTCTCACAAGTGGCACTTAGATCTGTTTCCGCTCTCCTATGTTTTTCTCTTTACATTACCTTTTTTCTTTTTTCTTTTCCTTTTCTTTCTAGTCTTTCTTATCTCAAGTTTGAGAAATTGGATTGTTTGGGTAAAACAAATTTTTTATAAAAAAAAAATGTATCAAAAAATATTTTTTTATATTTGGTGATGACAAGGATGGAATGAAGGTGGAGATGGATGTAGTGATATAATGGCGAGGGCGGTGGTGATGGAAATGACGATGATGATGATAGCAATGGTCGAGGTGAGAGTGGCACTGGTGATGGAAATGGCGATAGTGATGATGGTGTGGTAGTAATATGGTGACATTGATAAGATTTTAGTCCAAAAAATATTTTCTACTTAAATAGGTTTATTTTCTGTTAATCATGAAAAATATTTTTTTGTTAACGTTCGTTTTTCATTGTACCAAATACCAGAAAATACGAAAAATATTTTTTAAAAAATATTTTTCGTCAAAACAAACAGAGCGTTAGTTAGGCACGCTGCCAACGTGAAATTCCTAGCAGACAAGATAATACTTCAAGTTTATATCCAATTTTTCAGTAAAATGATGTAACAGTGACATATTTCAAAATTTTCTTTTGAAATTTGAAAAAATATATGTAACCCTCATAGTTTTAGTACAATTGTACAGATTTCTCTTTTAATAAGATTAATTAGACCGATACTAATGAGATAATATGAAAATACAAAGATAAATCATTGTAAATATACATTTCATTATAATAATAAAAAAATGGCAATATCATTTTTCCATGAAAAATTTATTTATAAATCCCATTTTAAGCAATGGTAATCCAATTAGTCTCAAGAGTTTTTTTATAGATTAATTAGTCCCATTGATTTTGAAAAAGCATATTTAATATATTATTTGAATATTATATTTACGGTTTTACCTTTATTTCTATTATGTTTTCTTCTTTCTTTCTTTTTCTTTTTCTTTTTTTTTTTTTTTTTTGGTGCTAGAAAGGTAAGATTCACAACATATGAGAATCAAATTTGTGATGAATTTTTATTTGGAAATCTTTTTTATTTGGAACAACTTGAAATGTAAGATTATACAAATATTTTAAAAGGAGTACAAAAAAGACTTGAAATATGAGATTTTTCAAACATTTTAAAAGGATGTGGGATCCTTCAAATATTTCAAAATGAGTACTAAAATTTCTTAGTAAGTTTTGAACAGATGTATAATTTTAATCTGTAACACTCAAACGTAACACTCCAACATAACATTCCAATGTAACACTTTAAAAAAACTCTTTATTATACTTTTTTTTCAAACGTAACACTTCAATGTAACACTCCAAAAAAAATTTCTTAGTACAACATTCTAATGTGACACCAAAAAATTTCTTAGTGTACCTTTGTCAAACGTAATATTCCAATGCAACACTCCAAAAAAGGATATGAGATTCTTTAAACCATTACAAAAGGGTGTGAGATTCTTCAAACCATTCCAAAAGGAGTATAAAAAATTCCTTAGTAAGCTTTGGGTAAATATATAATTTCAAACTGTAAGTATTACGTTTGGAAAAAGTATATTAAGTAATTTTTTAGTGTTTTTTATGTGTTACATTAAAGTGTTGCGTTTGAGATTACATTGATTGGAGTGTTACGTTTGGAAAAAGTACACTAAGGAATTTGTTTGTGTGTTACATTGAAATATTACGTTTGTAAAAAGTTTAGAGTATTACGTTGTTACGTTTGAGAAAAGTATACTAATGAGTGTTACGTTATTAGAGTGTTATATTGGAGTGTCATATTCTTATTTGTAATGTGAGATTTGTTCTAGAATGAGGGAAATTCCAAAACCTCTATAGTGCGGATTGCCCAAATGTCTAATTTCATATTTGAAAAAACCCACTTTTATTTCTCAAAAATTAAACCCAAATGTGTAAGTGACTATCATTTTGTATAATTTTCACTTTAATGAAACTTTTGGATTCATAAGAAAAAATAAAGGACTAAATAATTCACAATTGAAATTTATTAGTGATTCACCATTTTTCCATCTACATAACTAAAGAAATGATACAAGTCCTCGATTATGTCTCAAATAGTATTTATAACTAATTGTGTTTCTTTTAGTTATTATATTTGTGACATTAACACCACAAATTATCATAATTTGTATACAGAAAGATTGTAAAATATAGAAGGACCTAGGAAATTATTCAATAATTTCGGAATACCGTGTGATCATACTCCAAATCAATCACCAATTACTTAGCCCCCATATGTTGTTCCTCTATTCCCAACATAAATCGTGTCCCCTACCCCTCTCTGCCAATCAAAACCTTACGAGCACCGCGTGTCCATATTCAAGGAATACTGAATAATCATCCGAAGGACCCATAGATTTCATACAATTTTTCTTTTTATTTTTTATTTTATATGTTAGTTTATTTTCTTTGGGCATTTATTCAAAAATCTCTCATCATCTACTTAATTTTTCACTCAATTCAAATTATTTTTTTACATTTCAATAAGTCTTATGGATGACATAATTACTAAAATACCCTAATAATAATAGGGTGAAGTGCGCATTAATGTTCACATTAATAGTGTGAATATTTCATGATGTGAACATTCACACTATCAAATATATTTAATGTGAATATCCATATCACTAAGTTGCTAAGGCTTTAAAAAAAAATTATAAGGGTAAAATTGTCCATAACATATCTAAAATATGAAAATCAAGATTTAGTAGATCAAATGTTTAAAATAACATGACTTATTAAAATATAAGAATATCTTATAGACTAATTGGGATATAATAAATACTTAGAAAAAAAATTCTAACAAATTTCCTATTTTCTTTTGATAAAATATATATTTGAAGTTTGCGGTTTTATGTCATTTACATCTTAACTTTAATTTCATCATTTAAATTTGTAATTTGAATAAACTTTATCTAATTTCAAATGAACTGTGCAAAATCATAAATGAAATGATAAATTCGACTGCTTTTATTTCCACACAATTTTCTCTTAGTTCATACACAATTTTTCGTTTGGAAGTCAACTTCTAAACAAAACGTTTGGATGAAAACTTTATAATTAGAAAATCAACTTTTGAACCAAAAATATAGTAAATCATAAAATTTTGTTCGAAAGTTAATAAAATTGTACGCATATACTTTTAAATCAATGATATTTGAACACATAACTTTCTAATAAGATTTTTACTAGAAGTTTTAGAATATATAACATTGCTCTATAAATTTATTTGATATTTGATACCTGAATCAAAAAGTGTGTAAACTAAGTGTGTGGGTGATTTTCCGATCACACTGCCCAACTCAGTATTCAGCTGAAGAACACTGGCAGAATAGATGACACCTGGCTAACCTGTAACAGAAAGAGAAGATTCCGGCAGTGGTTCGTCCACCCAGGGGCACTTCGACGATCAAGTCAGTATATCTCTCAAAGATAATCAATAGTACTAATCTCACTAGACAGAATATAAATTGTGTACCTTAGACTCATGGAGGTGCCTCCCTTTTATAGCCAACATAATCCTAGTCCCAATAGAAGCCTAGTTCTAATGGACTTAGGATTACTGCTAATCTTGGACTCCCAGTTGAATTAGGATAAACTCTCTAAGAGTCTTATCTTAATCTAAACTGAAGTCTTCTCCCATTCTAGGACTTTTGTCCCTTATCCGCTTATCTGCAGATTCCGATATCTTCGAAGATAACCTCGGCTTGACCGAGATCACCTCGGCGTCATGACCAGGACACGTGGCACCTCGGCTAGCACGTCGGCGTCACCTTACCACGTGTTGGTATTCAAAAATATATCCCCATAACTGCCCCCTAGGTTCTATTATCTCGACATTCTGAGGTGATGGAACCTATATCAGTACCTCATGCTAATTCATCGGCTAAATCCGAGATCATCATCATTAGGCCGACATATCTTCTTAAAGATCAAGAATTCCAAGAGCTCCTTTACGCGTATGAGCTGTCATACATAACAACTCAACCGTTAAGCCACATGTTTTCTTCTTACTGGGTCGTACCCCGGACGCGCTTATAAGTCGTCTTGCGCCTTCATGCGCTGTCTGACGCATTTCGCTGTTCCAGGCGCATTAATTTCCCTCTTTTGCCGCCGTTTCAAGTTTTTGACAAAACTTGTTTCCTTCTTCTTTCATTTCTTCACTTTTCATTCAATTCCTTTGCTTTTTCTCTCTCTAGCTCTTGAATACGCCATTGTTCCAGACCTCAAGCTCTGCAACTGCCTTCATTCCTCCTTCTGGTGAAACTCTCGCCGTTCTGTTACTTCTGTAACCATTGTCTAACTTCGGCGATCCTTACACCGGCTCCTTTTCTTCAGTGAGTTTACTGTTCCTTTCGTTTTCAATTCTTTGATGCTTTCTCTTACTTGCTACCATTACTGCATTTGTTCAAACTTTTAATTTTGTGAATTATACATATGAATGTGTTTTTTTCACGATTTTGCCCTTGCCCATATCTTGAACACACGCACTGTTTCACCACTTCCCTGTACTTTTGCCACTATTCTTGGCCCTATACTTCTTGTATTCTTTTATGCTCTTGATAGACCATCTCTGTTCTTGATTCTGAAACTCGTTCTTGTTTCTGTTTTTTGTGTCTTTTCCAGATTCATGCCTTCAATCTTCGTTTCCATAGGCTTAGGTTTGGGATTTGTCTGTAGAACCCACAATTTAGGAAAAACTGAAACGAACTCCCTCTAGATCCATACAAACTCTTACCAAAGTGTACTTTTGGGTTTTTGGCCGAGGTCATTTAAACCTTCCAAAAATTCTTCT